CCGGAGGAGTCAAATCCAAAGAGCGAGGAGGTGACCACCAACTCGCTGGAAGACAGTTTAATGGATGACCATGATTGAGGTTATCCAAATAAACCTCCATCGGAGCGAGACAGCTACCAACGCTCTGATGGCTAAAATCAACACAGGTAAAATACATATAGCTTTAATCCAGGAACCTTGGACGATTCGCAACAAGGTTTCTGGATTAAATCACGTAAATTTCCAACTTTTCTACGCTGATACAGGATCTCGCCCGAGAACATGTATCTTATGTCACAAGAACTTATGTTTTCTCCTCTCAACAGGATTATCAACATCGGATGCAACGGTGCTGAAGCAAGGTCGAGGCAACATATACCTTGCATCTATTTACCTGCCTTTCGATTCTCCGACCCTACCACCAACGTCGGATCTGATGAAACTGGTTGAAGAGGCACAAAGGAAAAATAAGAAAATTGTAATAGGTTGTGATGCCAACTCGCATCATGTAGCTTGGGGTAGTACAAACACCAATCGCAGGGGACAAGCCCTCATGGATTTCTTTAATACTAAAGACTTGATAACATTGAACTTAGGTAATAAAGCTACCTTCGTCAATAGAATCAGAGAAGAAGTATTAGATATAACTATATGTTCAGAAGAGCTTATAAACGAAATTCAGGATTGGAGAGTTTCGGACGAGCACTCCTTTTCTGATCATCGGTACATAAGATTCAAAATACTAAGGCCACCACCAAAGCCGATAAAGTTTCGGAATAAGTCTAAAACTAATTGGACAATGTTCGGGGCCTTACTAAAGAACCGTTTAGGTCAGGACACTTTTCAATGTCGAAATAAAGAGGATATAGATGCCAAAGTGGAAACGTTCACAAGTGCCCTGGTTGAATCGTTCGAGGACAGCTGCCCTCTGCGAGAGCGGAGATCTGCCCAGGAAAAACCCTGGGTAACTGGGGAGATCCGGAACCTTGGGAAGACTCTTCGCAAACTATTTAACCGGGCACGGCGTAAAAAGACCGCAGTATACTGGGATGAGTATCGTAATAAACTTGGTGAATATAAGAAAATCGTTCGAAGAGCCAAACGAGACTCCTGGAAACTTTTCTGTGAACAGGTAGATAGCGTAAATGAGGTATCGAAGATAAAAAAATTCCTATCCAAAACTCATGTCCAACCGGAATCTATGATCGATGACACGGGCAGGAGGCTTGAGGATATGGAGGAGACAATGAAACTCCTAATGGATTCTCATTTCCCACCCGGTATATCGAATAACATAGATGAACCGATATTGGAGGAAGGGGAGGGTAACACGGAAATAGTTATTACAACTGACATGGTTAAAGGGGCAATCAAGAGCTTTGCTCCCTATAAAGCTGCAGGGCCGGATGGAATTTTCCCGGCACTTTTGCAGATGGAGGCGGGACTGGTTTCCGTACATCTGTCACAGATATTCACTGCATGCTTAAAATTGGCATATACCCCAGTTAAATGGCAGGATGCAAGGGTAATATTTATACCCAAACCAGGGAAACCTAGCTATGCGACACCTAAGTCCTATCGACCGATAAGTCTTACGTCCTTCCTACTTAAAACCTTGGAACGGATAGTCGATAGCATGGTTAAAAGCAGCATACCATACAATGACCTTAAATATAAGCAGCATGCTTATGTAAAGGGACGATCGGTGGAGACCGCTTTAAATGAAGTTGTCCACTACATAAGTGAATCTTTCGATAGCAAACTGTATACACTGGCAGTATGCATTGACATCGAAGGCGCTTTCAATAACGTGCACACTGATACCCTTATCCAATCCCTAGACCAGTTTTATGTTGACCGGGTGCTCCGTAACTGGATCAACTACATGCTAAGGAACAGATGGATAAGCTGCGAGATGTACGATATAACTATCAGGAAAAAGGTATTTCGCGGTATACCACAGGGTGGCATTTTGTCACCTTTACTCTGGGTCACCACGATTAATAGCCTCCTAAGGACCCTAACCGAGAAAGGACTTAGACCTGTCTGCTATGCAGACGATGTCGTAATACTTTTAAAGGGAAAGGATCCAAATTACTTGTGTAGAAGAGCTGAGGAGGCTCTGAATACGGCCTTGAGCTGGGCTCAACCGAGAGGCCTCAATGTTAACCCGGCGAAGACGGAAATCTGTCTTTTCACAAGAAAGACAAAAATTTCTACATATACTGAACCTTGCTTCTTGGGCAAGAAGATACCGGTGACAGACAAAGTTAAGTACTTAGGTGTAATACTTGACCGGAAATTAAAATGGAGACACCACATAGAGGATAGGATCAACAAGGCACATCGGTGCTGGGCGATATGTAGGAGAACCATAGGCATGAAATGGGGTCTTAGTCCTACTATGACAAATTGGCTTTATAAAAGTGTAATTAGACCAATTCTAGCTTATGCTTCAATAATCTGGTGGACTGCTTTGGACAAAAAGTGTAATATCAAACTACTACAGGGAGTTCAGCGTACATGCTGCTTGGGTATAAGTGGTGCCATGTGTACTACTTCAACCAAGGCTCTGGAAACGTTGCTAGATATTCCACCCATTGAAACATATATAAGATATGAGGCGGCGCTTACAGCCGAACGGCTCTTTACTTTAGGCGAACTGGCCAAAAACGGTTATAGGACACGTCATCAATGTATACTGGACACATTGGAAGGTTATACACATTCATCGGACGTGCCTGATCGCATACCAGACACTGAATATGTCGGAAACTTTGAAACGCTAATCCCAGATAGAATGTCTTGGTCAAGCGGAACATTAGAGCAAATACCAGTAGGAATCCGTTGCTACACGGATGGCTCTAAATTAGGGGACAAAGTGGGTCTGGGGTTCTATATTGAAGACCCAGAAACAGAAATATACCACCGTTTACCTAATCATAACACAAGCTTCCAGGCAGAAGTACGAGCAATAACGGAATGTGTAAATTGGATTAGAATAAATATGGCGCCCACAGGGCTTAATATATTTACCGACAGCCAGAAGGCAATTTGTGCGATATCAGGTGATAGAATTAAATCTAAGACCGTATTGGATTGTAAGAAAGCTTTAACTGAATACTCTCCCAGAGGTAAGGTTCACATCATATGGGTACCAGGCCACTCGGGAGTAGCCGGCAACGAAAGGGCGAATGTAATAGCTTTAAAGGGAAGGGAGCTCGATGTAGTTAACCTGACAAACGCAAAACCATTCGACGCAACAAAAGCTGAATTAAAAATATGGATGAGAGAATCCCATAAGGCCTCTTGGAATAATGAAACGGTGGGTAGAACCACAAAGATTCTATGGGGTGACCCTGATGAGAGCAAGACGAGAAATCTTCTCAAAATGAGCAAGTCTGAGGTTAGTATGATGGTACGTATTCTCAGTGGACACACAGGATTACGAGCACATCTATACAAAATTGGACGTGCGAATTCAGACGAATGTAGAGCATGTGGAGAGGACAGTGAAACTCTGGAGCACTTTCTTTGCCATTGTCAGGCATTCGTCGAAGTTAGATCCAAGTATCTTGGAAGTGATGTTATTCCAGAAATAACATTCTTAACCAACACCGATTGGAAGATTCTTAGGAATTACGTCCAGGAAACTGAGTTTCTGAACATGGAAAATAATACATTCAGTGAACAATTTTTTTTTTTTTTTTTTTTTTTTCTTGAATTGGAGCGCACAACAGGCCCGATAGTGGCCTAGGTGTATTTCTTCGGATTTGATGTAGTATACATCCTCCTATCAACCTACCTACCTACCTACCTAGGTTTGATCATAGTCTTTAGCTCTAGGGAGATCTTATACTCTTTGCTTCAGATATTGAGAGAGAATCCGATATATGCTTCGGGGTATTCTTGGATTGATTCACTATGATTTCCTGAAACATGTTCTTTAACTTCCTCATTTGTGGGCTGGAATGCCGTTAAATAGCTGAGCTATTCTGTCACTCTTCCTTCTTCCTTCACCACTTGCTATATTTTATCCGTTTTGGTATGATGGTGCGATTATTATCTTCTAAAGCCCCCTTCACACGAGCACACAAGTAATATGATCTGTCAAAATTTTGTGTAGAAGAGAACGGATAGGATCGTCTAAACGCAATATGTAATGAAATCATCACATATTGAGAGCAAATACGGATGGAAAATTTCACAGTCGTATGGCTCTCTTCATTTTTTAAAATGATTAAAAAAACCAGCAAGCCGCATTAGATCAGGGATGTATTTTTATGTAAATACATACAAAAAATGTGAAACAGCTGTTTCCATCTTACTTTGTTATTGTTTCATACCAATCGTATTTTCTTTTTTGTCATACGGATGGAATTTCATTTTACTTTTTCATTAGTCTTGTCATACGTAAAGTGTGATCGTCTGAAGGGCCCTTAAGGATTCAAAGTGGAAATACTTATATTGTTATATTTTTGAAAGACTGAGATTGCTTAGAGCTCCCTTCGACTACATCCTCTCATTAAAGTCATTGAGGCCAAGGAACCCACCTCTTCAGAAATTTGTTGCTCACGATCGCAGGTTGACGACGATACATGACGAGTAGATCAACTTTATAATGAGTTGTAAACCTTTCCTATGGAAACTAGTAAAATTGGTTCATAAATACTGGCTAATAAGTAGTTGACCTTTCCAACAAAACTTTTTCCAATCGAGTATTTTTTTGGTAAACAATTTTAGTTTATACCTACAGTTATTTTCGTGTGAACGTACCTTAAGTTTTTGAGTCGGCGGCGGCGCGGCTTGTGGCGGCCAAATTTTGATTTGTGCCGAGTCGGCTCGACAGTATATTAGAATTTCGAAGTTCTTTTTGTACTTAGGGTTTTCACAGTCTTCAGCTCTGGGGAAATCTGATCCTCTTATATCGACAATAATAGAGAAAGTATCGAATTCGTCAGAATTCAATAGCAGATGCTAATGTTCGTCAAATGGTGGACTTAAATAAACCTTAATATTTCTTTGATTAATATTTATTTATTTTTGTTCTTTTTTAAAAATGTTCAACTTCTTAACCTATAACAACTGATTTTTATTGTAAATCTATTAATATCAACAGCCATTAAATCTATTCAAATAACGGGGGTGTGGATCACGTCCTTGTTTTGTGGGTAAGACTAATTAACAAGAATCTATATTATTCACATTTTCAACTGCTCAATTATGTTCCTTAACTTGTGTGGGTGGATGAGATCGTATATATTCTAAAGCACGCAAAATGTATGCTGGAACAGGAGGTGGTGTAGGCAAATGATCACCAACTGGATGATAACCCTCTTCATCGGCAGTATATGATAAAGCAATGTGTTCACCTTCGGGAGAAATATAATTCAAAGAACCACGTACACCCTCTGGATTGCCCGATTCCTGGAATTGTATGCCATTGCTGGTTTCATAAGCATATTGGTAATTGCCTTCGGCATCAGCAGCATCATTAGTTAAACTACGGATTTCAGCATCCTTATCAATATTATCAGCACGGCAGTTGGCAACAAAAACAAGCGCAGCAATACAAACGAACTAAAATTGAAAGTAAAATTTGGCAATGACTACAGCTTTGTAAATAATAAAAAAACTGAGTTAATTAAAGATGAAACTTACAAATTTCATGTTTAGGCTGTTTATTTGTAAGTGTTTTTTTAAATACGAGAAAAAAATACAAAAACTTGTACTTCAGATACTGTGTGTTTAAACGAGTAATTGCAGTTGGAAACTGTTTAAATTTTAGCAAATCTTTGGTGTTTTTATACTGCCAAAAAACTATTAACAAAATTTAATACACCCTGACTGGCATCTTTAAATAACCAAATATTATAAAAAAAGGGTTTCTGCATGACCTGTATTGTCTACACAGACCGATTAATGAAAAATAAATAAAAAAAAACTTACAAAACTAGTTTTTTCTACACTTAAAATCCTTAAAATCAACTTAAGCTGTGCAAAAATTTTCGAAGATGACGCAAAGAAAAAAAAAGATCAAAAGTCATTGTATCACGATAATGAAGATCATCATCTTCAATTTTTCATTAATTTATTTAATACCCCCAAAATATGGTATAATAAAAAAAATAATAAAACAATATCTTCTCCTTTTTATTACTATTATTTCTGTCATTAGTCTGTCGGTCATGCTAAATGGATTTTAATTAAACTAACTTAAATGTTATTATAAGAATCTGAAATTAAATATTTACTCAAAATAATGGGAAATCGTATTCGTTCAAGGCCCTACAAAGAGAAATAAAATTATGAATTGTTTGTCCTAGAAAATTGTTTACCCTTTAAGGCCCATTATTTTAACTTGTGGTTATCGAAAATGTTCTACCGGTTAGAATAATTTGAATTATGAAAACTTTCAATATATCGTTATGATAAAAATATCAAGACATAATGCTATACGCACAATTGGGACGAACGACGAATTTTTCGGAACGAATTTTCGTCGTCAGATATAGAACACACTAAACTATATGAAAATACGCACAATCAATGCGTATGACGAAATTCGTCTTACGTAACGAACTGTGCGATAGGTTTATTTCTATCTATTTCATACGCAGACGAACGACGAATGAATTGGTGTAGGGTGACCCTTTTACTTTTTGGTTTTAGAACTTTTTTGTAAATTAAGTTAGTTTTTGTTTTAAGTAGTGGCTTCTTTTATGTTTATGGTATATAAATTAAGTTAACACGATTTTTTATTAATATAATTTTCTTTTAATATGAAAATAAAAAAATATTGAGAAAATTTTCAAATAAAACATTTTTTGTTTTGGATATATGGTCACACCAATCAGTATGTAAACAAAAAAAGATTTGATTTTTATTCATTTCGTGTAGTTTGTTTAAAAATGTGTTGAAAATATTATTTGTTGTGATTTTATATTACGGGAAGTGCCGCGAAAATTGAGAAAAAATAAGAAATTTTAAATCAATTCGCCATACGGAAGGATCTATTGTGTTTCAATCGACGAATATACGCAACGAATCATTGTCAAGCAATTCGTTGTGTTGGACGAAATTGGTCGTTCGTCCCAATTGTGCCTATACCATAAGAGTTACAAATATTTATCAGTATTTTTTATGAAATTTAAATTTAATTAATTTTAGGAAATGTCATCATATAATATAATCATATAACGGCCATTATTTTATATTTTATATATATTATTTTGAAACATTTAATGAAGGATATCATATTTGGATCTAATTTCGACGAAATTCTGACAATGAGAAATAAAGTGCTCCAGATTTTCTCTGTCCTCTTCACATGCTCTGCATTCTTCTAAATCCACTTAGAATACGTTCCATCATAATATTTTCGGAATCGCTCATTCTAAGGAGGCTTCTCGTTCTGATCTTGTTAGGTATTACCCATAGGTTTATTATTCCAAGTTGCCCATAGTTGCACAGCTTAACTCTAGAGTATTCGGTTAATGCTCTTTAACAGTCCAATGCGGTCTTAGACTTAATTTTTCACCTGATATCGCCCTAATTTTCTTCTGTCTGTTATTAAATGTGTTTATAATATTTCTATTCCTGGGATTTCAATATTGAATCCCAGGCCCGTTTTTCCCCCAGTATAGAGCCATCAGTTAAGCAACAGATTTCTTTCTGTGCTCAGTATTTCAAAGTTCCGGACATATTTTGTGGCTAATATGCGATCGGGCTAAAAAATTTCGTGGGCTTATGATGGTGCACACGATATTTTTTTAACAAATTGTCGCATTATTGTTGTCTTGTGCAGGCCAGGATATGCATGGCCTTCTAATATGTCCATTATACTTACTGTTAGGTCACCGTATAATAATTACTAACATTATTATTTTGTTTTGTTTAAATTTTCCATTTTTTATTGTATTTAAATTTATTCATATTTTTGGCTCACTGTTGCCACTGTAATTTGTCATTATTTTTTGTTCATACTAACCACTGTACATATTTTTGGTAATGACCCGTTAGTTTTTATTATTTGTTTCTCACTCCAATTCTTATTATAAGCATATTGTTGTTGCTCTTAAAAATGCAATTTCTTATTTTGGAGACTTATTGCATGTATTTTGTTTTTGCATATTTTGAATATAAATAAACAAGTTGAGTTGGTACATTGGAAGTGAGAAACAAATAATATTACAATAACAACAGTGTAGCCCTTATTTACATGATCAATTGTTAGGCTTAAGAAAAGAATTTTTAAATAAATAAATCATTGTCATAGTTGAATTCAATCGAACAACATCATCTTTTATTCTTGTCTCGGTACCACGGTAGTTCTTTTGTGTTTGTTAATTAATCACTGCCCATCGAACATTTCAGCAACCTATAGACAACAATTCAAAGTAGACCGAATTGCTCTATATCGTTGCCGGTGAAGAAAAAGCTCTTCATCGTACACTTACATTGATGACTTGTCCATTAACTGCCTTTGATTCGCCTAAAGTTAAGTGCTGTTCGACTATAAGTGCCGCCTAATTTCTTATATACAAACGTTGGTTGAGGAATATAACCCTTGGTTGAGGTAGTGCTCATGGCTTCACTTATACCCAAGCAACATGTACGCTGAGCTCCCTGTAGTGGACTAATCAAACTTTTATTAAATCAGTCTGTGGGACTATGTCATAGTAGGACTAACACCCTATTTCCGGCCTATGGTTCTCCTACATAGCACCCAGCACCGATTTTCATTGTTGGTCGTATCCTCTATGTGGTAGCTCCTTTTCAATTTCCAGTCAAGGATTACAGTTAAGCACTTAACTCTCTCGGTCATCAGTATTTTATTGTCCAGAAAACAGGATTCAATATATTTAGCTTTCATACACAAGTGGATCCTTTGCCCTTAAAAGTATGTATTACGACAGGTCTAAGATCTTTCTAGGAGACTATCAATCGTGGCTACCCAGAGTAAAGGTGACACAATTCAACATTGTGGTATACCACTTGTAGTTATATCTAACATTTCGCAGTATATCCATCAAGTACTTAGCATACAGTTTATCCACTGTATGGTGGTATGAAGTCATCAGTCGTCTAATTTCAACCTTTAAATTTTGGGGAATGAATCCTCCTCTCGACACATACAGACAGATTTTCCTTTAACATTTGACATCAACCGATTGTTATTATTAGAAAGACTTCTTCCCAGACCTGGAAACATTTGCAGCATTTTCGCAATTCGATCGCATGCCAGACACAAAATATGTCGGGAACTTCGAAACATTGCGGATTCAGAGCATGTGGAGAGGAGTAGGGTGTTCGCTGAACAATCAATAGTTTAGCAAGACGAATTTTAAAAACGCGCATTTTTTTAATTTTTGATATTTGTACGAATGTATTTTTATTTTAAACTTTTTTTCATTTCTTGTTGTTTTTGTGTCGCAAGGTCAGTAGCGTAAATATCATCATCTTCATGTTCAATATTAACCACACACAAAAACAGTATGAAACCAATATCATCACCTTATTCTTCGTCAGCATCGTCATCTGCATCGACAGCAAGTTTAAAACAATCTTGTTATCATCATCATGCCACTGATAATGAAGTTGTTCAGCCCCATCTTCAGCGGTTTTAATGATCATTAACCAATTTTTTTTCATGCTTTTGTTTAATTAACACACTGTGTGTGTTTTGGCTCACATTTCTTTTTCTCAATTGGTTATTTTTGATTTTGAGTTGTTTGTTGTTGTTACTTTTGGGAATTTTTAATTTTTGCTGCTGCATTCTTTTTTTTACGAATTTTGGTTGTTTTCTAAATAAATTGCTTTTTTAACATTTAGATATTGTTAGTGTTTATTGTTGTTGTTGTTTTTCTTTCGTTTAATGAATGATGATTGTTGATTTTTTGTTTTTTTTTTTTGTATTTTTGAGTTTAAGTTCAGTTTACTGGTAAATATGTTTTTTAGTTTGTCATAGGTCAGTATTTTATTTAAGTTTTAACAATTTTTGAATGTTGTTAAAATTATTTCTATTGTAAATTATTTAATTGTTTAGTTTTAGTTATCTTTTGTTGTTTATTTGTTTAAAAATATAATAAAAATTGGAAAAATGTTACGAGTCATAAAAGTGAGAGAGTGAGTTTGTGTCTTAAGTCTTTTGTTTTGTGGGGGAAGCGTTTGTGTTACTTTTGGTAATTATTGATTTGTTTCAAATTGCTAGTATTTTTTTAAGGCGTTTTATGTAGATTTTTAATTTATTTGTTTGTTTTGTTATTAGATTCATTTTTAATTTGTTGTTTTTTTCCCCTTTTTTTAGTAAAAGTTTTTACAAATTAGGAAGTGTAAGGTCATAAATTTTAAAAAATTATTTTAAAATTAGTAAAATTTGTCAACGAATTTAAACCAAAAAGAACCAGTTCTATACTATTTACTAGGCAGAGATTTAAAGCGTGTGAATTAAATTTCAAGTTTGACATTCGTGGATCATCCAAGCACGAAATAACTTTTTTGAAATTTTATCAATATCTACCAATAAATACTAACCGATTAATTGTTGTCAATTCTTTGTAATGATAGGTTGAAAGGAGGATAATAAACATTATATCATGAAGATATACACCTATGGCTTTAGAGGAAAACTTTGCTGGGTGAACCTTTAAAAAGGACTTACAAACCTATGATTGAGAAACTCAGTATCCTGGACGAAATTGCTTAAAAATATGTACAGTCAAAGTTTGGATAAAATATCGCAATGGCAGAGCTGGAAATGGTTCTGCATTCGACAGA